TGTCCGTATTACTCTGTATGTCTCCCTGTATGTCGGTATTACCCTGTATGTCGGTGTATCTGTATGTCGGTATTACTCTGTATGTCGGTATTACTCTGTATGTCGGTATTACTCTGTATGTCAGTATTACCCTGTATGTCAGTATTACCCTGTATGTCGGTATTACCCTGTATGTCGGTATTACTCTGTATGTCGGTATTACCCTGTATGTCGGTATTACTCTGTATGTCAGTATTACTCTGTATGTCGGTATTACCCTGTATGTCAGTATTACCCTGTATGTCGGTATTACTCTGTATGTCGGTATTACTCTGTATGTCAGTATTACCCTGTATGTCAGTATTACCCTATGTCAGTATTACTCTGTATGTCAGTATTACCCTGTATGTCGGTATTACTCTGTATGTCGGTATTACTCTGTATGTCGGTATTACTCTGTATGTCAGTATTACCCTGTATGTCAGTATTACCCTGTATGTCGGTATTACCCTGTATGTCGGTATTACTCTGTATGTCATTACCCTGTATTACTCTGTATGTCAGTATTACTCTGTATGTCAGTATTACTCTGTATGTCGGTATTACCCTGTATGTCGGTATTACCCTGTATGTCAGTATTACCCTGTATGTCGGTATTACCCTGTATGTCGGTATTACCCTGTATGTCACTCTGTATGTCGGTATTACTCTGTATGTCGGTATTACTCTGTATGTCGGTATTACCCTGTATGTCAGTATTACCCTGTATGTCAGTATTACCCTGTATGTCGGTATTACTCTGTATGTCGGTATTACTGTATGTCAGTATTACCCTGTATGTCGGTATTACCCTGTATGTCAGTATTACCCTGTATGTCGGTATTACCCTGTATGTCGGTATTACTCTGTATGTCGGTATTACTCTGTATGTCAGTATTACTCTGTATGTCGGTATTACCCTGTATGTCGGTATTACTCTGTATGTCGTATGTCAGTATTACTCTGTATGTCTCTGTATGTTACCCTGTATGTCGGTATTACTCTGTATGTCGGTATTACCCTGTGTCAGTATTACCCTGTATGTCGGTATTACTCTGTATGTCGGTATTACTCTGTATGTCGGTATTACCCTGTATGTCGGTATTACCCTGTATGTCGGTATTACCCTGTATGTCAGTATTACCCTGTATGTCGGTATTACTCTGTATGTCGGTATTACCCTGTATGTCGGTAATACCCTGTATACTCCTGTATGTCGGTATTACCCTGTATGTCTGTATTACCCTGTATGTCAGTATTACCCTGTATGTCGGTATTACCCTGTATGTCGGTATTACCCTGTATGTCAGTATTACCCTGTATGTCGGTATTACTCTGTATGTCGGTATTACCCTGTATGTCGGTATTACCCTGTATGTCGGTATTACCCTGTATGTCGGTATTACTCTGTATGTCGGTATTACCCTGTATGTCGGTATTACTCTGTATGTCGGTATTACTCTGTATGTCGGTATTACCCTGTATGTCGGTATTACTCTGTATGTCGGTATTACTCTGTATGTCGGTATTACTCTGTATGTCAGTATTACTCTGTATGTCATTACAATATTACTCTGTATGTCAGTATTACCCTGTATGTCGGTATTACCCTGTATGTCAGTATTACCCTGTATGTCAGTGTCGGTATTACCTGTATGTCAGTATTACCCTGTATATACTCTGTATGTCAGTATTACTCTGTATGTCGGTATTACCCTGTATGTCAGTATTACCCTGTATGTCGGTATTACCCTGTATGTCAGTATTACCCTGTATGTCGGTATTACTCTGTATGTCAGTATTACTCTGTATGTCAGTATTACCCTGTATGTCAGTATTACTCTGTATGTCGGTATTACTCTGTATGTCAGTATTACCCTGCATGTCGGTATTACTCTGTATGTCAGTATTACCTGTATGTCAGTATTCTGTATGTCCTTACCCTGTATGTCGGTATTACTCTGTATGTCAGTATTACTCTGTATGTCAGTATTACCCTGCATGTCAGTATTATTACTCTGTATGTCAGTATTACCCTGCATGTCGTGCATATCAGTATTACTCTGTATGTCAGTATTACTCTGTATGTCAGTATTACTCTGTATGTCGGTATTACTCTGTATGTCAGTATTACCCTGTATGTCAGTATTACTCTGTATGTCGGTATTACTCTGTATGTCAGTATTACCCTGCATGTCAGTATTACCCTGTACGTCTGTATTACCCTATATGTCAGTATTACCCTGTATGTCTGTATTACCCTGTATGTCAGTATTACCCTGTATGTCAGTATTACTCTGTATGTCTGTAGTTCCCAGGATGACCACCCTTCAACTTTTCTTCAGCACTGTGTTCAGCAGGTTGTCTGCCACCAGCAGTCAATTTGTTGGATTTCTAAGAACCTCATTCATCACAAATTAAGCCGACACGTCAAAACTGAAATACTGTTCTGATCGCCGTTAAACACCACCATATATCTTATTATTGAAATGTATACATCGTAAGCTTAAAGCCATTTGCTATTAATTACCGGGGTAGAAGGAAAGCAATATGAGCATGACGACATTCGACGAGTCGCATTTCGTGAGTGTTCTTGTGCAGGCGATGGTCCGATATATGTGACTGTCGTGTGGTGTAACGTGTGTTCAGGCCTCACGGGGGTGATGGTATATCGGAATTACCCTGATCTGAATCACATATCATCTTCCAGTCCTGTGTCACGGCCTAACGGAGCAGGAGTGTGGGCAGTTCGACGATCTGGCCAACTGTTCCGCCACAATGCAGAAGACCATCGCATCATCAGAAAGCATGACAACCAGCTGCAAGTAAGTTAGTTGTGCCCCCCACTACAGATTGTTGTTGGACCGCTTTTAAATGTTTCTAAAGTCTCACTGGTGTCTGAGTGTCGATATCTATCTGTATTGTCTGTCTGCGTCTGAATTGGTCTGTCTGTGTCTGAATTGGCAGGCTGATGCCAAATTGTCAATCCACCCTTGTACAAATTTCTCCCTTTGTTTTTTTATTTGTGTCTGAATTGGCAGGCTGACGCCAAATTGTCCATCCACCCTTGTACAAATTTCTCCCTTTGGTTTTATCAATTGGCCCTAATTGTCAATCCACCCTTGTACAAATTTCTCCCTTTGTTTTTTTATTTGTGTCTGAATTGGCAGGCTGACGCCAAATTGTCCATCCACCCTTGTACAAATTTCTCCCTTTGTTTTTTTATTTGTGTCTGAATTGGCAGGCTGATGTCAAATTGTCCGTCCATCCTTGCACAAATTTCTCCCTTTGTTTTTTTATCTGTGTCTGAATTGGCAGGCTGATACCTAATTGTCCATCCACCCATGTACAAATTTCTCCCTTTGTTTTTTTATCTGTGTCTGAATTGGCAGGCTGATACCTAATTGTCCGTCCACCCATGTACAATTGTTTTCTCTTTGGTTTCTATCTGTGTCTGAAATGTCACGTCCGTCCGTCCATGTCTCAGTATTTCACTTTTTGTTTATGTTTTTGTTGTCTCTTTGTGTCTAACTGTCGTCATATGAGTTTTGTTTAACTTTCTTTGAGCTTGATGATGTCGTATTATACTTGAAAGAATACATGAATTTTACAAGCTAGGTTCAAATGTGGTTCGCAGACATTTATGTAGTGCTATTGATGATAGTATTGTTATGACTTATTGAATAAATATTTTATCAATACTGACATTTTTGAGGTAATGACTTTCTTTCCTATGACTTTTTTCAAACTCAAATCTATGACTTGTTTCCATGACATTTTTCCTGTGGCTTTATTTCCTACAACCGTCCTGATTGGTTGCTCTGTGTGTATTTCAGTGCTATCCGGGCCTACATAGGGTGTGTGGAGAACGTGGCCTGTGACTGCAAGCTGACCACTGTGCCAGGGGTGGCCAACCAGCTGACCTATATCTCGGGCTTCTACTCCTACCAACATTGTCAACTGCGTGAGTAGTCAGCCCCGTCATCCCGGAAACACGCTTCACATTACAGGTGGAGTCTATGTGTTAATGGACAAATAGTCCCTCATTTAGGTTACTGGTGAGTGACAGGACGTGACGGTAAATCATTGCAGATACGGTCATACATGGTAAGTTGGTTCACACAAGCCATTGCAGATACGGTCATACATGGTAAGTTGGTTCACACAAGCCATTGCAGATTCAACGGTCTGGCGGAGCAAGTGTTTAACGAGCACATAGAGGCGTTGGGTTCACATGACCTCAGTGGGTGCTTACATTTAGTATGGTGACTACTTGACTGATTGTCTAGAAACTCAAGGTGCCAATTGGTGGATTCCCTGTTTGACGCCAGGCATGCTCGCCGACCATTGCTTTGCATGATCAGCGATTCTGTGGGTAACATTAGAGAGTGTGGCTATTTGTCAAACAGTCTTTAGCCAGGTAGTTTGTGACATCTGAGAGCTGGACTCTGGAACTCTTTCCAAATGGATGATTATGACATTTGAAATACATTCCTACATGAGCATCCGAACACCTGCAACTCGATCAATCACACAGAAGTCAAATGATCACCTCGATCTGTCAGATCACATTTCAAGATATTCTGTTAAGCATAAAACCATCCCTGGGGTAATGGCAGCGGTTAAACAGTACAAGAGTCACACACCCCACACTAATTTCCTCATAAAACTTAACCAGCATATGATCATGAATGCGCCAAGAACACAGATGTCCTTCCGCTCATCAGCGAGTGGCTCAGTGTACACAGTCCTGGGGCCATTGTAACAAGTCAAACTGAGCTGAGGGTGTCAGCGGGGTGTAGCTGGATCATATATCGGATATTGCAGTGATCGGAAGCTAAACGCCGATACAGTATCTCCGAGTCTGGGTCAGACAAACTTACATTGTCCTTCATTCAGTACGAGGTACCTTGTACGTGTGCCCATCAGAAATAGATTGTGCTACGAATGATGTTTTGACATATATTATTTCTATTTTGCAGACACGGGTGAACTATTTCCAACCAGAGGAGTACCGTGCTATGGTAATAATATACAACATTGTGTTAATGAGAGGTTTTGTGAAATGAAATAGCTACGATATGAATAATCACTCCTCCTTATTATAGTAACCTGGAGTTTTCCATATTTCAAAAATCGTGCTTCATGTGCGAGTGGCGGGCAGTATATACTCTCCCTAAAAACAACAGAGGTGTATTATCAATAATTTAATCTATTAATTTTTAAGTGACATAACGTTATAATTTTAGGCATAATTTCCACTTACGTCACCATCCCAATGTTTTTGTTGCAGATAATGCCACAGGCTCTGTGATCGAAGGAGAATTGTTAGTACTTGCCACCTCAGAAGGTATGTATATCTCATTAACACAGTGTGCTTGCCACCTCAGTAGGTATGTATATCTCATTAACACAGTGTGCTTGCCACCTCAGTCGGTATGTATATCTCATTAACACAGTGTGCTTGCCACCTCAGTAGGTATGCATATCTCATTAACACAGTGTGCTTACCACCTCAGTAGGTATGTATATCTCATTAACACAGTGTGCTTGCCACCTCAGTAGGTATGTATATCTCATTAACACAGTGTGCTTGCCACCTCAGTCGGTATGCATATCTCATTAACACAGTGTGCTTACCACCTCAGTAGGTATGTATATCTCATTAACACAGTGTGCTTGCCACCTCAGTAGGTATGCATATCTCATTAACACAGTGTGCTTGCCACCTCAGTTGGTAGGTATATCTCATTAACACAGTGTGCTTGCCACCTCAGTAGGTATGTATGTCTCATTAACACAGTGTGCTTGCCACCTCCGTCGGTATGTATATCTCATTAACACAGTGTGCTTGCCACCTCAGTTGGTATGTATATCTCATTAACACAGTGTGCTTGCCACCTCAGTTGGTATGTATATCTCATTAACACAGTGTGCTTACCACCTCAGTAGGTATGTATATCTCATTAACACAGTATGCTTGCCACCTCAGTTGGTATGTATATCTCATTAACACAGTGTGCTTACCACCTCAGTTGGTATGTATATCTCATTAACACAGTGTGCTTACCACCTCAGTAGGTATGTATATCTCATTAACACAGTATGCTTGCCACCTCAGTTGGTATGTATATCTCATTAACACAGTGTGCTTACCACCTCAGTTGGTATGTATATCTCATTAACACAGTGTGCTTGCCACCTCAGTTGGTATGTATCTCATTAATTAACACAGTGTGCTTGTTGCCACCTCAGTTGGTATGTATATCTCATTAACACAGTGTGCTTGCCACCTCAGTTGGTATGTATATCTCATTAACACAGTGTGCTTGCCACCTCAGTTGGTATGTATATCTCATTAACACAGTGTGCTTACCACCTCAGTTGGTATGTATATCTCATTAACACAGTGTGCTTGCCACCTCAGTTGGTATGTATATCTCATTAACACAGTATGCTTGCCACCTCAGTAGATATGTATATCTCATTAACACAGTGTGCTTGCCACCTCAGTAGGTATGTATATCTCATTAACACAGTGTGCTTGCCACCTCAGTAGGTATGTATATCTCATAAACACAGTGTGCTTGCCACCTCAGTAGGTATGTATATCTCTTTAAAGCAGTTCATCTCATAAACACAGTTCGCTGGCCGTCTCAGTTCGTTGACCGTGCCTCCAGGAAACAATGCATAACATAATGATGCAATGATGTCGTAATGCTATCTCTAAGTGAAAGATGAATCTATGTTGACACGAATGGAGCGTATGCAGCCCGTATCTTACGGATTGCAGTCCTTTGACCATGTTTGGCCAGACTATATGTTAACTATATATTCTGTAAATGTTTCTCCCTGCAGGTTCACTCGTCCTTGACCTTGAGGCTGAGTGCAATGGTTTCCAGGCGTGTTATGCAACTTACGACACTAAGGCTGCCCTCGCTCTCCATGAGAGGAATCTCGTGTCTTTATGCAGGTGGATATTGCATTAGTATCTGGAGTGAGTGAGTGCGTGGATGGGGAGTGAGTGATGGTTTACAATATGCTCCCACTGAGTGGCATTATAATTATGACCAGCTGGCAATGTAACCTCTTACTCATCAATAACATCTAATTTAGCACACGTGGACATACAAAACTAAGGAAAATACGAAGCCTGTTTGCTGGATTTTGCACTAACAAACCCGTCGCCCGTAAGCTCTATAAGATTTATCTTAAAATCACAATTAATCTTAGTGTTGTAATGCAAGAAATCGTTTTGCTTTTGCTGTTAATGCCAGCATCCAGATGTCATTGATGGCAAAGTAGTTATGCCCTGAACCGCCACACTGGTGTACTTATATCCTGTTGGTTATTTGCCTTCTGTAGAATCCCAGAGCAACCATAACTGGTTAACACCTTTGATCAAGTTATTCTGAACATGTATAAGGATTATAAACAGTTAGATCCAGACAATAATTAGATCAGTGTTTAGGGTGTACAGTGTAGTAAAAGGTGGATGGACAGTGACTTTGCACAATGAAGACACGGGTTTGATTCCAATACGGGCACGGTCTGAGAAGCACATTCTTGTATTAGGACGTTACAATCCATTCTTTGTGACGGAGTTTTGTAAGGTCAGAGTTAAAGTGCTAGTGTCATGTTCCAATAGCCTGGATCGCTGCAAGTGGGTTCAGACATACCACTGCCTTGACAATAGAACTTTATTATACCATTTAAGAAATTTGCTGTTTTTTAAGACACGGAACAGCAATATAGACAAATGAGAAGTACGTGACAATTTGAAATCGTTTGTTACGGTACTGTTCCAACATGCTGACATTTGTTGTTTGATTACTCAGTTTATGATTTCCAGCGTCCTTGACGAAACCATTGTGTGTCTTGAGAACGCCGCCTGTGCCTGTGGGGAGAGCAACAACACCAAGCTGATCGAGGACGTTTTGTACAACAACCAGGTGTATACACAGACATGTTCAATTGGTGAGTGTTCTCAAACACACAATCATCTTTATAAAATAGCCGAGGTTATGATTCAAAAGCAATTGATTTAATCAATGACAGAAGTATTATCTGGATAAGGGCTAACGTTCCTTGACTATGTAGTCTTAAAGATCCTTGTGATACGACGACGACGAGCTGCTGGTGTTAACGTGTGCTTTATGATTTCATGAATTTATATTCAACAGTGAAGCCCGATATTCTTCCCAAGCAAGGCATCCTGTGTTCAGGTGAGTCAACCTTATCATTGTGTCACATATCATTAGGACGTGAATGATTGGGAGATGGGGACAGGGCATTGGAAGAACAGGTGCGTGTTGTATGTGTGTAGGTTAGTGATGGGGAGAGTATGTGTATACTGTATGTTGTAGTGAATAAGTCATGGGTTGGCTAAATAATTTTATGAAAAATGTCCTCGGTAAAAAAGTACAAGTGAAAAAGTCCTTTTGTAGTAAAAACTGATCTAGTTATTTATTTGGCAAGATTGACATCAAAGATTAAAAACAATACGTGAAGAAATCACATATATTGACACATTAACTTTATAAATTAAAGTTTCTTCTTTAAAACGACATCTAAAAAACATGATGTGCTTATGTTATGGTCAATGTAATTGCTAATGGATTTGTACCCCGATACTTATGTAAACATCCGAATTAATAAATGTCAGTAGGCCCAGACTATCTTATGTCATCATGTGATGCATTATGTAACTTATAACTTATAATGTTAACTGTAGTCATTTCGTATGATTTATAATTTGGTATATAATGCATTTCTTGTTAAAAATGAAAATGGGACTTTTTTCCGGAGGACTTTTCTACCTTGTCAAATTTAGGACTTTTTGAGCGAGGACTGTTTTCCGAACACATGTGTGCTGTATGAGTGTAAGTGAGTGATAGGGCGTTTGTGTGTGTGTGTGTGTGTGTGCGTGCGTGCGTGCGTGCGCGCGCACTGTGTGTGTGGTGAGTATGTGTTTGTTTTAACTTTAAGTATATTGAGTAATGTAAGTTAAAGTTGAATGAGGTGATGTTCTGTGTGTGTTGGACTGATGCATTGAGTTTAGTTTTACGCCGCACTCAGCAATATTCCAGCTATATAGAGGAGGTTTGTAAATAATCGAGTCTGGACCAGACAATCCGGTGATCAACAGAATGAGCATCGATCTGCTCAATTGGGATACGATGAGATGTGCCAACCAAGTCAGCGAGCCTGACCACCCGATCCCGTTAGTCGCCTCTTACAAGCAAAAATGGGTTGCTGAAGATGAATCATGGGTTGGACCCTGGAGGACAGGGTTGGGGTGAGGGTACAAGTGTATTTTGACTTGTGCTACTTTTCATTGGAACAGTGTGTCTTCACAGTGGATTCGTACAACCAGTCATTCATTACACACCGACCATTCTCAACAACCATTCTGACCATCTGCCTTCTAAGTACGCTGACTTTAACGATGGGTATGAAATTCCGGACAAAACACAAAATATCGAAGAAATAGGGGAATACTATTTTTGGTTGCAGACAATGGCACGGCTGTGGCCCAAACTGTGTGTAACACCGAAAACCCAATCTACAAGTGCTACCTGGAACTGGACAACACGCTGGTCAGCCGAGGAAGTACGGTGGACGTCCGGTGCCCGTGAGTTGTCCATCTGTCTGTCCAGTATTCCTTACAATCTGCCCACATGTCATCCTCCCGTCGGGGACATAGAATCTATTGTCCACTTGATGCCCGTGTGATAATCTTAGATCCTAACCGTCTGGCAGACACAAATGGACATATAAACTAATAGAAATGCCTAATGATATAGCAATAAAATATTTTCGGACAATGTTATGTTTGAAAGATGTCGTAAGGGAAAGACGTCGATAACGACGGTAACATTTATAAATATGATATTGATAATGACGATGAAGTGTTAGTTTCATGTAAGCCTAATGCCACGTTTACAAAACGAAGCCATGTTCCACTGAAACTCATATGACGTTGACATTAAGAACCTGTATACGAATGTGGTACAGAACAACCTGAACTACGTGTATGTTGCACAGGGCACTTAAGACGTACATTGAGTGTACGGAACAGGTGGCGTGTGAATGTGGTCTGATCCGGGCTCCCAGCGTCTACCGAGCTGTTACTGTCGTCGCCGCGTCGTACAACGACACCGTCTGCTCTACCGGTAATGCTCATTTACATATGCTAAAGTTTAGATCATAAATTACGATGATGTAAGACAATTGTCTGAATTGCTGTTTGTATAATCACGTTGTTGATAAATTGTAAAGTATGTTTCGATTTTCTGTGAGACTGTTTGAGATTTATGCAGATATGACAGACATAATTAATTCTTTTGCAGTTGCTGGCCCGTTGAACATTGTATCTGGCTTAACGTGCCCTGGTATGTCACTGTTGTCATTATGTATACTGGTGTCTTGTTTAGCTGAGGGTCAGTTGAACATTGTATCTGGCTTAACGTGCCCTGGTGTGTCACTGTTGTCATTATGTATACTGGTGTCTTGTTTAGCTGAGGGTCAGTTGAACATTGTATCTGGCTTAACGTGCCCTGGTGTGTCACTGTTGTCATTATGTATACTGGTGTCTTGTTTAGCTGAGGGTCAGTTGAACATTGTATCTGGCTTAACGTGCCCTGGTATGTCACTGTTGTCATTATGTATACTGGTGTCTTGTTTAGCTGAGGGTCAGTTGAACATTGTATCTGGCTTAACGTGCCCTGGTATGTCACTGTTGTCATTATGTATACTGGTGTCTTGTTTAGCTGAGGGTCAGTTGAACATTGTATCTGGCTTAACGTGCCCTGGTATGTCACTGTTGTCATTATGTATACTGGTGTGTCTTGTTTAGCTGAGGGTCAGTTGAACATTGTATCTGGCTTAACGTGCCCTGGTATGTCACTGTTGTCATTATGTATACTGGTGTCTTGTTTAGCTGAGGGTCAGTTGAACATTGTATCTGGCTTAACGTGCCCTGGTATGTCACTGTTGTCATTATGTATACTGGTGTCTTGTTTAGCTGAGGGCCAGTTGAACATTGTATCTGGCTTAACGTGCCCTGGTATGTCACTGTTGTCATTATGTATACTGGTGTCTTGTTTAGCTGAGGGTCAGTTGAACATTGTATCTGGCTTAACGTGCCCTGGTATGTCACTGTTGTCATTATGTATGCTTGTGTCTTGTTTAGCTGAGGGTCAGTTGAACATTGTATCTGGCTTAACGTGCCCTGGTATGTCACTGTTGTCATTATGTATACTGGTGTCTTGTTTAGCTGAGGGTCAGTTGAACATTGTATCTGGCTTAACGTGCCCTGGTATGTCACTGTTGTCATTATGTATACTGGTGTCTTGTTTAGCTGAGGGTCAGTTGAACATTGTATCTGGCTTAACGTGCCCTGGTATGTCACTGTTGTCATTATGTATACTGGTGTCTTGTTTAGCTGAGGGCCAGTTGAACATTGTATCTGGCTTAACGTGCCCTGGTATGTCACTGTTGTCATTATGTATACTGGTGTCTTGTTTAGCTGAGGGTGTCAGTTGAACATTGTATCTGGCTTAACGTGCCCTGGTATGTCACTGTTGTCATTATGTATACTGGTGTCTTGTTTAGCTGAGGGTCAGTTGAACATTGTATCTGGCTTAACGTGCCCTGGTGTGTCACTGTTGTCATTATGTATACTGGTGTCTTGTTTAGCTGAGGGTCAGTTGAACATTGTATCTGGCTTAACGTGCCCTGGTATGTCACTGTTGTCATTATGTATGCTTGGTTTCTTGTTTAACTGAGGGTCAGTTGAACATTGTATCTGGCTTAACGTGCCCTGGTATGTCACTGTTGTCATTATGTATACTGGTGTCTTGTTTAGCTGAGGGGGCCAGTTGAACATTGTATCTGGCTTAACGTGCCCTGGTATGTCACTGTTGTCATTATGTATACTGGTGTCTTGTTTAACTGAGGGTCAGTTGAACATTGTATCTGGCTTAACGTGCCCTGGTATGTCACTGTTGTCATTATGTATACTGGTGTCTTGTTTAGCTGAGGGTCAGTTGAACATTGTATCTGGCTTAACGTGCCCTGGTGTGTCACTGTTGTCATTATGTATACTGGTGTCTTGTTTAGCTGAGGGTCAGTTGAACATTGTGCTACATTTCATACAGTATGAAACTTTAACAATAGATAGTGTTGGTGCCATAGCAAAAACTATATCACGTCCCATAGTAAGGAAAAACTTTAATTTCATAAACAGTATATTTATGAACCCAGGTGTTGCCTCTTGAATTTGATAACTCTACCTAAATGTATTTCTGTGTTTAGATGGCACTGGCACGAGAGAAGATGAAGATCGCCTCATCATTGCCCTGTCTGAAGGTGAACACATTACTTCTTACACATCACTGCTTCTTACACATTTCTGCTCCCTACACATTACTACATCTTACACATTACTACTTCTTACACATTACTGCCTCTTATACATTACTACTTCTTACACATCACTGCTTCTTACACATTTCTGCTCCCTACACAATACTACATCTTACACATTACTACTTCTTACACATTACTGCTTCTTACACATTTCTGCCCCTCTTATACATTACTACTTCTTCTTACATTACTGCTTCTTACACATTGCTGCTTCTTACACATCACATTACTACATCTTACGCATTACTACTTCTTACACATTACTGCCTCTTATACATTACTGTTTCTTGACACATCACTGCACATCACTGCTGCTCTACACATTACTGTTTTGCACTACATCTTACACATTACTACTTCTTACACTTACTGCCTCTTATACATTTGCTGCTTATTGCTCTTGCACATTTCTTACTGCTTCTTACACATTACTACATCTTACACAATACTCTTACACTCTTATTACTGCTTCTTTTACATTACTACATCTTACACAATACCGGCTCTTACACATTACTGTTTCTTGAACATCACTACTTCTTACACAATACTGCCTCTTACACATCACTGCTTCTTATACATTACTACATCTTACACGATACTGCCTCTTGCACATCACTGCTTCTTATACATTACTGCTTCTTGCACATCACGACTTCTTACGTTACAACATCTTGCAAATTAACACTTCTTACACATTACTGCCTCTTATACATTTCTGCTCCCTACACAATACTACATCTTACACATTACTACTTCTTACACATTACTGCCTCTTATACATTACTGCTACTTGAACATTACTACATCTTACACATTACTACATCTTGAACAATACTGCCTCTTACACATTACTGTTTCTTGAACATCACTACTTCTTACACAATATTGCCTCTTACACATCACTGCTTCTTATACATTACTACATCTTGAACAATACTGCCTCTTACACATTACTGTTTCTTGAACATCACTACTTCTTACACAATACTGCCTCTTACACATCACTGCTTCTTATACATTACTATATCTTACACGATACTGCCTCTTGCACATCACTGCTCCTAATACATTACTACATCTTACACGATACCGCCTCTTGCACATCACTGCTTCTTATACATTACTACATCTTACACAATACTTCCTCTTACACATCACTGCTTCTTATACATTACTACATCTTACACTATACCGCCTCTTGCACATCACTGCTTCTTATACATTACTGCTTCTTGCACATCTCGACTTCTTACGTTACAACATCTTGCAAATTAACACTTCTTACACAATATTGCCTCTTACACATCACTGCTTCTTATACATTACTACATCTTACACAATACTGGCTCTTACATATTACTGTTTCTTATACATTACTACATCTTACACGATACTGCCTCTTGCACATTACTGTTTCTTGAACATCACTACTTCTTACACAATACTGCCTCTTACACATCACTGCTTCTTATACATTACTACATCTTACACAATACTGGCTCATACATCTTCTTATACATTACTACATCTTACACAATACCGGCTCTTACACATTACCGTTTCTTGAACATCACCACTTCTTACACAATACTGCCTCTTACACATCACTGCTTCTTATACATTACTACATCTTACACAATACTGGCTCTTACATATTACTGTTTCTTATACATTACTACATCTTACACAATACTGGCTCTTACACATTACTGTTTCTTGAACATCACTTCTTCTTACACAATACTGCCTCTTACACATCACTGCTTCTTATACATTACTACATCTTACACGATACTGCCTCTTGCACATCACTGCTTCTTATACATTACTGCTTCTTGCACATCGCGACTTCTTACGTTACAACATCTTGCACATTAACACTTCTTACACAATATTGCCTCTTACACGATACTGCCTCTTATACATTACTGCCTCTTTCACATTACTACTTCTAACACATTTCTGCTTCTTTCTCATTGCTACTTCTTACACGATACTTGATCTTGCACATGATTGCTTCTTGCCCAATAACACTTCTTGCATATGGCTGCTTCTTATGCATTAACACTTCTTACACATTACTACTTCTTGCACATAAACACTTCTTATACAGGATTACTTCTTGCACATTACTCCTGACACAGGTTCTACAAGTATTTTGTTTGAGTACTGTGTTCTTCAGTGTTTAAAATCTTTCTCTTCAGGTGATTGTGAGTACTTACAGACACACTGAAATGTGTACAGAAATATTCGATCAACGTAATTCACATCAAATAACTCAGAAACATTCACAAAGTTTTAGTAAAATGTTCGCATTCAAGAGTCACATGTCAAATTACTTGTTTTGCGGGTTTTTTCCATCAGAAATCCCGGAGGTCAATTCTGTGGGATCTCCCGAGACCACGCTTGTTTTGTGATATACATGCTAAATGACCACGAGCATTACGTAACGATAGTACATATTCTGCTTCCAGATCCGTCTGTGGTAGAGCTGTATGCTACCTGCCCTGCGGTAAAGACCTGCTACAATGCCCTAGACAATTCAACAGGAATAGCACTCTTTCAGAAGAATATCAAGAAACTTTGCGCGTGAGTGAACAATCTGACAGTTAAATCAGCCTATGAACAGAAATGTACCAACTTTACCACGGTAATCTGTAATATTACACGTTTGGTGTACCGATTACCACCATGAGCATAGCACGTGAAGAGGTCACTTAGTCTTAATGGAAGTTTAAAAAACATGTTGAAAATAATACAAAAGAATGAGGTTCCTTTCCTATAATGTCTTCTAACTGATTAATTTCATTCCACTGGTACTTTGCCGGTAACTATTTCCTCCCGTACGTCCGTTACAATTTACAAGCCTGAGAGCTGAATATCAAGTGTACAAGATACCAACGTGGTTGTCTTGCAGAGGACAGAAGGTGTTTATAGAATGCATGGAAGAGTCGTACTGTCAGTGCGGCTTGTACGATACACAGAATGCTACCACGTTTCTGACTCGGCAGCGAGATAACCACAAGGCGGCATGTTTCACGGGTAAGCTATCACAGTATCATGGCCCATTACACACAGAATCAGACTGGATTTATTCATAAAGAATCCTAATGAATTATTACACTATTGTGATTTAAGAACTGCATTGTTGATTCAATAACATCCAGTATGAATCAGGAATGTGCTTATAGTTTTCTCGGGGCGGTGGGGTAGCCTAGTGGTTAAAGCGTTCGGTCGTAACGCCGAAGATCCGGGTTCGATTCCCCACATGGGTACAATGTGTGAAGCCCATTTCTATTGTCCCCCGCCGAGATATTGCTGGAATATTGCTAAAATCGGCATAGACCAAACTCACTCACTCAGTTATATATTTCTCGAAGGATATTTGATTCTCCTGAAATACCCTGTTGACTTGTTATACAATAGGTAAACATCCAGGTGTTATGAGACGATAATCATGCACTTCACATACCACGATAATGCAAAATTATTTTATATTTTCAGATTCAGTTCTACGGGCTGATTTCAAATGCGGTACGTATCTCCTTTCTGAAGCCCCAATCAACATTCTTTTTGGGCATCGTAAAACTTAGTGTGATTATGTTTTGGGCTTTTGTTTAACATCATTGTTAATCGATTTTTGATTAGATTAACCTTTTAATAGGTCATGTGTCCTTTCTATAACCACCTATACAGAATAGTTTTGTTCAATCGTGCGTTGCCTGTTATACACATTCAAGATTATGTATAGGGAACGCTGCAATATTTGTGTCCGCGTGTAATTTACCCTTCATCAGATGGCAATGGTCTGTTGCAGCATACGGGTCAATCGGCTTCAAGTGCACGGACAGCACGGACTGTCAGGTGATTGGGAAGTCGGTGTGTGACTCCAGCGGTATGTGCGCATGTCAGGAAGGGTACATTTACAACTCCGAGGCCAATGCCATGGCATGCACCAAAGGTAAAGATCTGTATTTGATGGCAGATGTAGACATTCTTACATTGCCCCTTCAGTGAGGAGGGATAACAATATATGGATGAACAACGTTTTTAGTGGTGAGAGGAGGCAGGCTAGAAATGGGGCTGTATTGTAGTGGATGGTATCCCTGCTCCACCCCAGACTAGAGGACGGGTTTTCACATGGTCCTTGTGGATCCTCAGGGGTGATGAGTTTTTTGTGGAACATCTCCTCACCCTGGTATATATGCTTCTCTGTCCTGTTCATCACTTGCTTGATAACGGTGTTAGAACCTAACCCTAACGCCGCTCTCATTGTAATAAACAAGTTGTTCATCCATATATTGTCATCTTCCTAACTAATCCAATGCCTCTCAAAGAAGTTCATTATAGTGGTTGTAAATCAATGAAGGTAACTTAAAGTCTTACGAATACACTCGAGCTGACTCAGCGAAAACTTAAAAGTGAACATCTCGATCACAGCCCGTTGTCTGTAATGGTACATGGACTGCGTGTATCGACATGCTGTCGGTCAATTGTTTCCCTTGTCGGATTTGGCTATTTACTGGTAAATGTATCTGCAATATTGATGTCGGTTTTGTAAAACAATATTCACAGACGCATCACTGTCTCTGATACTATTCCAGCTCGTCAGGGATGCTGGTGTGATCAGCATCATTGTTATTCTATTGTTACAGATTTACGAGGAACCATCGGGTACTCATGCACCACCAACACAGACTGTCAGTTGATACAACATTCTGAATGCGGTATCGGTGGCGTGTGTGCGTGCCAGAGGAACTTTCTGTACACAGAAACAGATTCTACATGCAAGGAAGGTTTGTTGACACCATCGTTCACATGTATCCCGTTATACCGCGAACATTTGTTCGGTCTGTGAGTGTAGGAGATGATATTGACGCCTAAACACAATGTTATTCATTTCTTTTTAAACTGCCGATTAGAGTATATATACAAATCGGTAATAACAACGAATGGGAGACTTGGAAGTGTTGATAGCGATATTGTTGCTGATGTAGTGGTGAGATGTCGTTCATGTCTGCATTGTACAGGTTAAATGTCAGAGTGTATCCCGTGACTGATCTGAACATGTTCTTTTTTCAGTGTCAAGTGCCGTGACTGTGAAATCAACAACTAGTGTTTTGCTGGGACTGATCGTTTTGTCATTTGGATATCTATTGTAAATCGGAGATAGTTAAAATATATCATGTAAATATACCATGTGTACAGATTCCTATCACAAGCCCCATGCACTCTTGGCTGTTTGTCTGCTCTATCAGCTGTGATCTGTGAAGTGAAGGCGCCTGTAGTAAGAAGCAAGTATCACCGCATATCCTGGCACAGCCAAGGGAAATAACGCTGTAAGGGACAACACGGGCCTACGACATGTTAACAGAAGAATGCCAACTGAAACTTGTAACCTGCACAAGGACATGCCATACACCTTATCACATGATCAATTGGCGCTACATGGCTGAACAATTCCGATACAAGGTTACTCACTCAATCCCATGATCGACGATTCTGCATTGCTATGTTGGACTTTGTGTGTGAGTTATCAGCGCTATGGCCTAATGGGTACTTATGTCGGAGTGCTCGTTACACTTGCTAGTTTCCATGGTAGACAAATGTCCCATAAACACATCGTTGTCTGTATATTTCGTATTTTCATGATGCCGTGTCAACAATTCATTGCTATATATTTTCTTTATCTAGCATGTTACTTGTTATATATTGTCATATTTACAACAAAAAAAAGTTTAATACATATGTTAATATGAAGCTGATGTTTGTTTTCAATTTGAATTACCATCTGTTCCCATCCTTGTGACTGCAATTCTATGGCGGGTTATAGCTACTTTTCAGATTTATTTCTGATACTATGGAAAACTATGTTGATGCAAATAGTTTTATTCAGTCATCTGCAAACACATACGTACCGAGTAATAATAATCTCAGAGATGTCCTGCATGTTCCTGTTGGTACAGCAGTTGCTTTGAACAGAGTTCATGAAGTACATATTTCATGTTAACCATATTTGTGTTGTTCATGTTTGCACTTGATCATGAACATACTGCACGTCCTGAGTGTAATACTGTTTGTGGTGCTGATAATGATGACAATGTTGTTGTACATAATGTTGTTGTTGCTGCTGCGGCTGATGAGGATTTCGTAAGAGTAAATGCACCTGGCATCAGAGAGAGTTTAGAAAATAAGGACTTCATTGATCTTGTAGTTTTAAAGAAATAGAATCGGATTTCAAGAACCATCAACACCAACAAGTGCTTTCCTCCAGAACAGGGTAAGCCGATCGGGTGATATAGCGTAGTGTTTAGAAGTAAATACAGGAAAAATACATCTCACACAAAAGAAAAATCTGAGCACATTCTTAAGACTAAAGCAGGTGACTGTGAAATGTCCCCCGGATGTTTACTTGGGACTGTTTATGTCCCATCAAAAGATCAAAGTACAATACAGCTGATACGTTTCCGGAAACTGAGAAATACATCGGTATAAGGTCAAAAGGTGATAGTGTGTCTTTACCAGGGGACCTCAAAGCTGTTTTCGAAAATGTTTCACCAATATCCAACATAAACAATGGACGAAATCTCCAAATGTAAGAAGTATTCTGACTACATTGCAGTCGGGAACTGGGAAACCATTTCAAAACGCTCGAATGTATCAATGATATTGCATAACAGTTATTTGTTTGCACATTGAAATCGGCTGATGGCAGGAGTGACTGAGAGAGGACCCTGTCTGTGAACTATAAATAATTCTGATTTTTGAGACGAGTTTCGGAGGTCTTCTACAACAATTAATATTTACAATAAATAACCCGAATTGAGACATTACAGGAAATCATCAACTTTACTTGTATATAACGAACGCTTAAATTACGATGTTTTCAATACTCAACACTGGCACTTTTATTATGTTTTAATTGTTCAATTTTCAAACAAATATCGTTCACTAATAATGCTGCATTTAAATCTGCAACAATCATTTCGAATATATTTTTCATTTCCGTATATGCCTACACGGAGTGTCTTAATCCCCAAAGTACATACTGGGTGTATTATCCCCAGTTTGTAAAGGTAATATGATCATTTTTAATCGAAAAGAGGCGTTAAACACCCTATTATATTACTTGTGAGATCCTCAGCAATTGTCACTCGTTGCAAAAATAGGTCTCGGTAGCTAAACACTAACATTGACGATACAGGCCTCTGCCTTTATCGTAAGTAAGGAAAAACGTGGTTCTTATCTTTTGTAAATATTGCCGACGTGACGATAAATTTTAACTCACTCACTATCTTTTGTCATCAAATACATGAATAATGACCACTCACGGTAAAACATCCTTTAGATCAGAACGAAACCCCCAGTGCTTTCCAAGCGTTTAAAACCTAGCCCCCAGAATGCAGACTGATACCTCGTCTGCCTGTACCTAGCCCCCATCAGACAAAGAGTCCTACATGATGGGCAAGGATCTGGCTTCATAAACATGATAATTTGTCTCCTCATCTCCACACCCCTGGAAAATTGAATGGGTGTTTTTAAGGTCTAAATGTACATAGTGACTTTCTCATGTCACCATGACTCTGCCGGGGATGTTCTCAGGCGTGACCAAAGTGTCTGTGAGTATCGGAGTGGAGCACAGGTATCTGCCGGTACACAGCCCAAGGTTGACCTGGGAGCAGCAGTCCTGGGTTCACCAGGGTCTGTACGGTGATTAACGAGTCACTTATATCAGACAGTTGGATGTTCCTGCTGTGAAGAGCTGTCTGGATTAGTCCACAACCACGCAGCAGACACTTGGCTGTATTAGTCGTCTGCTTTACTGGAGTGTAAGTACCAATGTATGCCAAACGTATGGATGAATCCGACGAAACGCCGAAAGTTTATTCATGAAGTAATGTTACCCCCGACATGGAGGGGTTGGATGGAGGTAATAACTCGCCTGATCCGTCACTAAAGTCATATCCGACTCAGCTTATGTCGTACTACTGCTGATCTTCGTTAATCACCCACCGACAACACATACATATACATCGCCATTTCGGGTATTTGGAGTTATTTGTTGGTGGCAGAACCAGTCCCTTAGTAAGCATTGCGTGTACCAGTTTCCGTCCAATGGAAACAATAGAGGGTATATTTAGAAGATACCATGTGTCACATGCTGTTTACCTTACCCACAGGCTTGGGCCAGTCTGTGTCGTTTCCTCTATGTAGATCTAGGAGTAGAGTCACGAGGTAACTTGGAGATTATATTGAAACATAACCTATGAATAACACTTAAAGAGTAGTGAAATACGACATAAAACTAACCCCAAACCTAGGTAGAAGTAAACATTCTAAAGTAAAGTTGACATCTTATGTTGAAATTAGTAAACAAACCCACAACCTTTGTCAAATGAAAGTAATAATGTATACAATAGTTTGAAGATTTAATACCAGTGAATAACGGCCCTTGCCATTAACAGAATTAACTGTTTGTAGCAACATTGTGTCCGTGAATCATTCAGTGTCCTGGCGGGCGACCATGCGGTGAGCAACATTAATGTTTGCTCGTGTTGTTTAAACCAACTTATCACTTGACATGCATGATGAGTGAAATGTTTTAAAACAAAGAACCACAACCCCCCTGCATCCCTCCTCCAAAACAACCCGCACACAGAATCAATGACTGAGTGAAATGTAAACAGCACCAAGTATCATCATGCAGCCATGTTGTTTGTCATCATCAACAAATGTGAACTAAGGCTGTGCAGGCTGGCCAGGAGCTGTTAATACGTCTGTCTCACTGTTCTACTCGCCTTGAGTCGCTCCCATCTGATGAGCATGATAAAGATATATAAAGATGGTATCTGAATCTACGATGACGTCAATGCTAATCCTGCTTGCTGTCGAAGTGGGCGCAATCAGCCTGAAGGACTATGTCGCTTATGTCTACGTCTGCCGGTGTTACCAAACCTACAGGTGAAGGTCGTAGTCTTGTTTATGTTTAAATGAGCACAGTCTGTTTGTCTCAAAATGTGAACGAGCACGTTTGTGAGCGATGACTCACAAAATAACTCAAAATCGAGAATAGTTTATAAAACGCCAATATGGTACACTGCAGTGAATATCCTGCATTTGCTATTTTGATACATACGGGAACTTGATTAAGAAGCTATCATGTTGTTCCATATGCTATATTTGGGAGTACACTTTTTCAGTACAATACAGATTTATACTTGTTGGGTTGAGTCCCATCATAACTAGAAGCTGTACTTAACTAAGAAACTGTAATCCCAAATATAACATATGTTACATTTAACCACTTTCTAAATGTCATTGTGAATTCATATCATGTTGTTGACATCTTTAACGGAGGGAGCACAACGACAGGAGGAACAGCGGAACTGCACGTGCTACATGTGAACGTCCTTGACTGAGAAAATAACTCAGCTGATATATATCAGTTGATTAATAATGTGTATGATTTCTTTCAATGTGAAGCAGAACCAGGAAAATCATTTCCTGCTCTTAGTAAATAATTGAAACCGAAACGTTGTGTTCCTCATGATAAAGAAGTCCATCCATGAATGTCTTCCTTATGTGTATGACTTCTAAATGACATTGAAAGACCTAGAGTCACCTTTATTTTGATATACGTCCCAGATAGGTAATAACTATACATGTATCTTTGCAGATTCACCTTCAACGAATAAAGCACCTTTTACGTACAAACAGTATATAATGGACATACATAATTGCTTGAAAATTTACAGCTAAATGAACATCAGCTGATGTACTGGGTAAGCACCATTTGTTGTTAAACATTCCCTAGCTCCCCAGGCTTGTAAAATCTAGCGGGTCAAAAGTTCTACCGTCGGCTGTGTTCACTCGACTGATTCCAGCTCATAATTGTCAAGTCGTTATTTCAAATGGGCGTGTCGCCGCCTAGTACTGGAAAACAACCTGTCACCGCGTGTTGCTTAAACACATCGTCACGCTAGATTGTCATCTCACTAGGCAAGAGGAGTAAAAGGCGAATAAGTTTCTTGAAAAGATTCTTGAAAGTGCTGAATTCTATTTAGTCATCAGCAAGCCATACAGTTTCGATGACAATCTGAACACACAAAGCTAACTGAAGCATTAAAACACTGCTTGATATATCAGCGTTGTCTAATGTGCGTTAACGTTTCCGGCAATTAAATGAATTGAACATTTCTGCTCGCTACAGCTCGGTATACACCTAATAGGGCTGAATAATCAAGTACATTTCATATCTTTGAATGTGTCCGAAACACATATAGCTTGTGTTTACATATTCTGGTACTTAGATATATAAGGAGATATTATATACTATCCAATAACATACATATATTTACAGAGTATTATACTTCATATATTTTGATAATGTTGATGCTGAAACTTGAAACTGAAGTGGAAACCACACTAAATATATTCTTCTCAGCCTTCCATGTTAGTAACCGTGTATATATGAATTCATTCTTCTCAGCCCTTCATGTTAGTAACCGTGTATATATGAATTTATTCTTCTCAGCCGTCCACGTTAGTAACCGTGTATATATGAATTTATTCTTCTCAGCCGTCCATGTCAGTAACCGTGTATATATGAATATATTCTTCTCAGCCTTTCATGTTAGTAACCGTGTATATATGAATTTATTCTTCTCAGCCTTTCATGTTAGTAACCGTGTATATATGAATATATTCTTCTC